GGTTCCAAATCTCAGAGAGGCTGATTTGCTGCTGTTTACCACTTCGCTATCCTCCTGGAAGTCTGTTTTTAGTTTTTAAAAAATTCTGTACACTGACTTCCACAGTGACTGAACTAGTTTCATTCCCATCGACAATGAATAGTTCCTTTTTCCACTGCAACCTCATGAACATCCGGGGATTGTCCTAATGATAGATGGTTTTTCTGGAATAAGATGCTGTTTAAATTTGCATTTCTCTGCCAAGTGTTGTAGCACATGCCTGTAATGCCAGCACTTAGGAGGCTGAGGCAGGAGGATCACCATGAGTTCAAGCCCAGCCTAGGTGAGTTCAAGGCCAGCTTGAACCACATACAGATTTTCTAAAAAACTCAACAACAAAAAAGTAGAAAATAAATTTTCATTTCTCTAATGGCCAATAATTCTGAATAATTTTCCAGGTACTTACTGGCCATTTGTACAGTGTGTACCTGAGAAGTGTATGTTTATTTCAATTGCCCAATTTTTCAGTTGGGTCCTTTATTTTGGAGTGCCTACTTTTTGTATTCTTTATATATCTCTGATGTTAGTCCTCTGAGGAGTTGCTGGTAGCTTTTTTTCCCCTTCTATTTATTTTTTCACTCTGTTGTATTTTCGTTTTTTTGGTTTTTTGTTTTTTTGTTTTTTTGGTTTTTTGGTTTTTTGGCTTTTCTCCGGTACCAGGAACCGAACTCACGACCTTGCTCTTGCCAGGCAGGCGCTTTGCCCCTGAGCTAAATACCCAGCCCCTACTTTGTTGTATTTTCCATGTCTGAGCAAAGATCTCTTGCACTTTCTTATATATTTTGAGACAAGGTCTCACTGAGTTGCCCATACTGACTTCCATTTTGTTTTCTTCCCACCACTTCCTTCTGATTTAATGGGATTAGAGGGCTTCATCACAACGTTTTTTGCTAATGATAAAATGATGGGAAAGTAAAAGTGCTCAGGATAAAATGCCTTGTATTTTGAGCATTCCATCACTGGCTGGAATAGTGATAGCAAGATACACCATACATCTTCCTGATAATGGTAAGACACAGAAGTGAGTAGCAGGCAAGTTAGCCACATGTTCTTAGGTGTAAAGAAATTGACACTGTATTCTGCA